AGAAGTACTTAGCAAATTAAAAAGTGTACATGAATAAATGAGCTTTTATTATTACATTGTGCTAAAGTCATTTACAGTTGTTGCCATCGATTCATTTTATTTCCCCTTTGACTACTGCTTTCTATCCCTTCCATACCTTGCTTTTTTCATACCATAAATCAAAAGTTTTGAAATCATTTGCAAAAATCCTCAGATTATATGAGAAAATATAGTAAAGTTTTTAATTAAAAAAAGAGTATAATTAACTTGCTTTGATTAAGTTTCTTTTCCTTCCTCATCAAAAAGTGAAATTACTTAATTTTGCTGTTTATACTTAGATTTTATAATTTAATATTCATTGATTGCATGAAGCATATGTGTTGAGGGAAACTTCTGTTTTAATATTTTCTTATTGCTTTCTATTTTTATCATAATACAAAGTTAGTTGAAATTTTATTGGCCATATCCAAGGGAAACATGAGGTCTTACTGTTGTCAAGTACCTATATTTCATTCCCCTCCTTTTTTGGGGGGGGGAATATATCGTCACATGCGGCATATGTGGGAATAGGATTATTGGTCCATGCGTATGTGTATGTTTATGTCTGTGCATTTGTATGTTTAAATTGTATATGAGAAATGCTCAAAATGATTACAGTGTATATTGAGACATGCTTGCTCTTGATATACAGACGAACCCTGTTTTATAACAAACAAACCTTTTTGTGCCATCCAGTTTCCTATACACTTAATGTTATATTATACTGTTAAAGCAAACTCCAAGTGCATGAAAATCTGACGTAATTAACTGCATGGATATCTTTAAGGTTTCATATTTTTTCCAGAATTTCTGGAAGTCCTAACAAAAAAATACGAACCGTCAAAATCATGCATGTTTAGGATATTAGAATCCACATTGCTTATTTTTCTTGATCCCTCTTAATGGCGTGATTGGCTTATCTGGTCAGAAGATTTTTTGTCACTTAGTTGATATTAGATTATAATTTAAAATGTTTTGCTTTTTTACTTTCTTTGATGATGCAAATAGTATCTTAATGCTGAAAGTTTATGAAAAGAAAGACTAAAATGAGAAATTCTAGAAATTTAGCTAATAAACGCTATTTAAATATAGGTCTTCATGAAGAAATCAAAAAAGCTGTGCGACACAGAGGGTTAAATTAGCTAAAATGGGAGAATTAATTTTTTTTTCCTTAATCTTCACCTCCACTTTATTCTGTGTTCTAAACAAAGGCTATAAGAGAACAGATGCGACATGTAACTGTAGAAGAATGAAGATACATTAAACATATCTTAGAATGTCATATTGTGTATTGGCTTTGATGCCAGACAAATAGCTTGGCTGCATGGCTATTTTCATGGTTTTCCTTGTGTGTAACTTGGATACGAGCCAGTTTCCATTAGACAGTCTTCTACGAAAGCACTGCTTCCCTTAGCTAAATAGCTCCGGCATGCTTTCTATAGTCAAATAAACCAAATTATATGATGTATGTAACCACTGAATGAAATAGGTTCTCTGGTTCCAATCAAATTCTTTGAGCAGCCAGATAGAGTTATATTCAAGGCTGATGCTATGACAGAAATTTTGAAGTTTTGGCTATTCAGATAAATAAATAGGGAGTCTTATGTACCTGTGGTTTCTCAGTTGAGTCTTCTTTTAAGGAATGAAAAGTTTGATCCTTATCTGTTTGTTTTGTTTTAGTATAAATGCGCTGCAAGTTCTATCCTCTGAATTGAAGTTTGGTATTCTTTAAATCTTTTGCAAGATTAAGATATTCTTTGTGAAGGTTATAAATCTTTGTGTCTAAAAAATTATTGAATCTGCAGTGGGGAAATGATTGAGTTCTCAATGGACTTAAGACTCATCAGTGACAAAATTATCATCTTTTTTTCATATTTTCCTGAAGATTAAAACTATTATGTATTCTTTTAATAAACTCTCTGCACTCTGTTTCTGTGTCCACACTTCATCCACATGACAAGTTGTTAACATAAAGCTTATGTATCAAAAATAAGGGAAGCATCAGCTACGTTGTTATCTCAAACAGTAACTATATAAAGTATATTTCACTTTGAATTACTAACATATTTAATTTATACAAGGCACCTATTGTACTGATTTCTTGGGGTGTCGAAAATGCTGTAATTAGGCCTAAGTAAAATGCATTTATTTTATATTCACCATTGTTCAGTTTTGTGTTTACCATAAAATTTGCAGGGTTGCCACGCTACCTGGAAAACTGGAAAAAGTCAGGGAATTCGGAAATTGACCAAAAAATTCACTGAATTTAAGTGTTTTAGTCAAAATCTGGAAAAGTCAGGGAAGTTCATACTATGATCCCGCCAAAAAAAGCGATTTTTGCGCCGACGTCGGAAGAGATAACTTTTTTGGCGAATTGCCTATCATGTGAGTGTCTGCTGGCATAGAGCCAATTTTCGCAGCTCCAATTTGATTGCCTTTTAGAAAGGCAAAGCAAGTTTCCCGCAACTTTTGGTTTCCAGTATTCTCGAGAATCGCATGTGCAGTGCATGAACTAAAGAAAGTACCTGTTCTCGTATAAAACAAAATGGGTTTAATCCTAGTATACGGTACCATCATGAAGGTTAGAATCAAAAAATATGTATTGTAAAGAAAGAAAACCTCTCTGCAACAGACGTGGCTCCGTTCCATCATAGAGGGAAACAGCTGTGCATGTGCGATATATCTGTCGTCAAAGCTCGAAGTTCGAAGGTCACGTTATCAAGAATTCATAAAATGAATATCGTTTAAAATTTCTTTAAACTCTAAAGGAAAAGAAAATATTTTTTGGCGCAAGTAAATTAATTCATGGATTAGTTATTTTGAGGGGAGTTGAAAACTACGAAATTCCGTTTTAAAATTATTGTGAAAACTCCAAGAAAAAACGTTCTTTGATAAAACGTTTCTTCTTGGATTTTTCGCAATAATTTAAAAACGGATTTTCGTAGTTTTCTTTTTTGTCAAAGAACGTTTCTTCTTAACACGTGTTTCTCAATTTCCTGTACACATCGCGGAGAGGGAAATTCTGGCCGCCAGGTTCCGTCACCAAATCCCTTAGCAAATTTTAACTCCGCTTTCTAGCCGCGTAATAGCATTTACGTGTATGGAAACTTTTCTTCTTTACATAGACGTTCTTTAGTTAGAATAATCTCCATGTATGGTACAGTGGGATTTGGTGACATGATGATGAGCAGTAAACGAGTCATTTTGTTCTTGGCGACAATTTTCAAAATCGTGCGAAGGCCGTACCGTATACTAGGATTTTACTGCAATTTTTTTTTTTTTTCTTTTCTTTTTAATAAATACCTTGTCATTTTGCAGTAAAATAAAAAAATAGTAATCAGTAATCTATGCTAACCATGTAATATAACTATATTCGCTAAAATATCGTTGATTATTATAATTCAATTTTTAAGTAATTATCTTTATTTTTATTTCCCTCTAAATTTATTTATCATTAGTAAATAATGTTTCCAAATTTCAGGAAATTTTCTCTGGCATAATCCTGAAATTAATTCTAGCAGTATGATGACATCACGAAATTTAATGCACATATTTTTTCCTTATGTATGCTGCGAAATAAATATAAAATACCTGAATTTAGTAAAAAAATATCATTAAATATATTTCTTTCTTTCATTTAGCTGCAAAATGTCTGCAAAAAAAGCCTTATTTTATTCCAGATTGGGGAGATTCTAATCTCAATCTTCAGTGGAGGAAACAACTCCTATTATAATTATATTTGTGTTTTCAAGTGTTAAGGTGCTTTTTAAGAACACACCTCACACAAATTAAATTTACCTAAAATCTAACCTAACTTTTAGCATTGCGTTGTGATTTATAAGAACCGGGTTAGCCTCATGTTGAACTGGTGATGATCATGACTAATAATTAAATAAAACGTACAATTTTTATCCAGTGTATATATCTTAAATTTTATTAAGTTTCTTAAGTGGAAAAGTAAACAAAATTATCAAACAAAGTGTACCAAGAATAATTAAGAATAAATGTCCTCTGGGATTTATTGAATAATTAAGTGAATTTGCTACACAGTACAAGTAATACCATAATTAATTTACCTCTTAGCGCAGCCAACGTACATTACGCGGATAGACTGGAATTTTCTCGAAACATACCTGGAAAAGTCAGGGAATTTCATTCTCCTGTTTGAGTGGCAACCTTGAATTTGTTTTCTGTGCACTGGATGTATGATGTCTTATTTTTTCTTTTGGATTTTTCTTGAAAATTATGAAATGATTCTTGGCTTATTATTACATACTGTAAAGAATTTCACCCATCAGGCTTTATGTTGTCTCGATGGGACATTCCGTGGTGTTATGATTATAGTTTTCATCATAAAGTTGTGGAACATAAAATATGACTGGGAAGTTTCTTATTTATAAACTTCTATACTTCATGCTACTCATAAATTTAAATTTCAGAAAATAGTTTTCCATTTTTGCAACACTTAATTTAATAAAAAATAAATCATGTAATTCATTCAAATAGTGCTCAAGTGGTGATGATTTAATTTATGTAATAATGCTCTTATTTAGTAATGTATAAAATTCTTTTGCGTAAATTGAGCTTTAGAATCAAAAAGGCATTATAGCATCTCTTGTGACCTCCAGCGTATTAATCTTGGATGTATTATTCACGTAATTAAAAATCTTGTTTTTTATAAAGACCTATACTTTTGTCCATGATATGCATTCATTCTCTGTACACAAAACATTAAAAATAGTGATGTTGCCATGTAGCAGTACAAAGCTTTCTCAGAGAAATGAGATACAATATTCTCTTCATGTGTACTGATTTAAACTGCATAAACACAGTGCAACAGGCACTAAGTACCTTATATTGGACAAAATACATAGTACATGTTAAGAAGGTATTTATATAAATTTGTTAAACAGAAGTTATTAGAAATATTTGCAATTATTAATAGTTTGTTGATTGAAATAAAATGTCTGTCTCTATCATAGCTCTAGCTGGTTTTTCACCTCACCATAAAATATCAAGCTTTGAAGAAGCAAAAGGTTTGGACAAAATTAATGAGCGAATGCCCCCTCGAAAGGATGCTCTGTCTTCTCCAGTTGAAGATGGTGCTTACTCTTCAAGCCGCTCTTCCACTTCGCCCAACAAATCTTGAAAAGCATTATTACTCCAGAAGTCCCATTGCAGTTGCATCGTCGTTAATGTCTGTGTGTGTGTGTGATTCTGCGGGTCTGCAACGCCTCTATGCCGCCCACCTTATTGAGAGCCCACAATCTTTCAAAACTATAATTTTTTTAAACCTACTGTTGGCATTGCCAGGCATACAGAAATTTTACCATTTTCTTCTTTCTTTCTGACGTTTTTCTTCCTTGGGAAACTAAGTTTTTTTCTCCTCTCACATCTGAAGTGCAGAATAATACAATGCTTATCCATTTCAGCAATTAAAAGCATTAGAATTCTTTAATTTATTGTTTAATGTAATTATTCTGTGGTGGCCAAAAAAAAATTGTATTTCTACATAATTTTGTATAAGATTAGGATTGTGGTCTTATTACTTATGCAATATTGTTTAAAATCCTGAAACACAATACTGCTGTTTATGCAGTGAGAATGACAAACATAAGATTACTTTATTTTGTTTTTTACTTTCTCTTGGTGACGGTTCTCAGAAATTGCATTTTTATGCTTTTATATTTTTTATTTAGTGTTACAGCATTTGCCATGTATTATTCTGTGATGTTATATTTATTTCAATTCAAATCAAATAATATCCAGAGTTATGAATCAGCAATATTTATTTTGTATTTGTTTGTGTTTGTTTTGAACTAATTATTTTCTGTTTTTATTGAGATAATTTATTTTAATTTTGTTAACAATTAATAGAGTTTTATTACATATTCTTTTTAAGTGTTATTTGTCTGCATTAAAATGTGTATTTCTTAGTTTTTCCAAATACTGTTTTTTAAGATCTAGTTAAGAGAATGTGAGATTTAGTAAAGCAGATTACATGATACTCTTTTTTTTTTTTTTTTTTTTTTTTTTTTTTTTTTTTTTTAAGTGTTTGAAATGTAACCTAAAAATTAATTATTTAATTACTAATTTAGAAATTTTAGTCAAGTGGCAATTTGCCCTGAAGGACTATTAATTTCATTTTTCAATTTTGCGTCAAAAACTTTAAAAGGCTGTGTCACTTTTCAAATTATCGACATGTCTTATATTTAAAGAAATTAAACAATGAACAATCGACATAAATGTATTCATGCTTCTCACATTGTGATAAAACAATGGTACCTAGAGCCATCAAAATTTGAATAACGTAATCTTCCATAGAATATGGGCATGTGGAAGCCCTAATTTGGAATCTGGAATTTGTTTTATTATCTGTTTCATATTTTGTCAGACATGAAAGAATTTTTGATTAACAAACTTAATTTTTATCTCCATCGCACTGAACTATGTGTCAGAAATTCTAAAGATATGCTCATTTTAAAATTAATTTGCGATATTGCTGTTGAAGTGAATTTTTTATAGCTTAAGTACTTAGAACATGATATTTAATAAATAAAGGTAACACGCAAAACGTTTAAAAAATGTTCCTTTGGACATAATTTAAAGTCTGGAACCTTTTTTTGGGGGGGTGTAGTATATACTCTTCTTATTAAAAATTATTGTGTATAGGACATGAATATTATAGCAGTTTGAGAATTCAAAATGTTAACGCTTAACATAACTCCATGAGTGTTGAAAATTCATTTGATTAAAACATGTCATAAAGTACTATTTAGATGAAATATGATTCTAGAATGAAATTCTTAAACTATTGTATAGCTCTGGTAAAACCATTACATGCCTCAGGTATAATATTGAGACTGGGATATACATCAGCTCCAATCAACTTTCATTGCATCATGTGGTTAAAATATCTGAATTAATATACTTTTATATGTACTGCTTTGAATTCATCTGTTTTATACAGTTACTTGAAAGAAAGTAAAATATGAGTTTCTAAAGAAGAATCAGAAATTATTTCAACTGCTTTTGTTCAGATTTGTGATTTTCTTCACCTTGTATGAAAAGTTCTCAAGGTTACAACCATATGGTTGCTCTGTAATCTTATGTAATACAGTATTTGTATTTGGGTGATCACCTTAAACGCAGCAAATGTCTCATAATATGAATATGTAAAATTAAATTTAATCTTTATATTACTGTTTTTCCCTTGTTGTGCAAATATTTTAAGAAGTTTTAAGTTTAACTCTGTTAATGAAAAATAATCTTTAATTTTCCTATAGATATTTTGATAGTGTTACTTTTTGTTATAACAAAAATTGGAGAGTGAAAAAACTGCTACTTTTTTATATTCTGCAGGCCTTTTAGCATAATGATTATAATTTAAGTAGATGCTGGTTGACAATCATAAGTTTAATCGTTGAATTAATTTTCTGTGCTATATATATGTTATAATCATGTTTTTAAACTGTAATGTTCTCTGAAGTACAGCTGCTCTTCTATAATTATGGTTATTATTTTCTATAAGTAATTTATTTTAAAAGATTGTTGAAAAAAATTGAATTGTTATTATCAGATCAGAAAATTGAAAATCATTTTAAAAAGGCAGTTTAAAACATTTATTATTATTCAAAGCATAATAAACTGCTATTAAAATGCAAATTCTTGATTAAAAAGTTCATTTGTTTAATACCCCATTTAGAAGTTATGTAGTTTTAAGGAAAAAAAAAAAAAAAAAAAGAGAAGAAGAAGAACTATTTTGATCTCATTTAAATTCAAACCTAAACTGTACTTATCTATTTTTATTCTGCTGCTCAAAGTTTTCATTAAATTATATTTTTCCTCATTTTTAACATTAATCATTCATTTCAATAATCATAGCTGTTTTCAGGTTTACTAACAAGCTATGAATTTCATGCAATATGCTTTCATATGTTCACGTAAATTTGTTCATTATTTAAAATATTTTTGTCAGGAATTTACAGTGTAACTAAAATCACAAAATAATGAAAATTAAAATATTATTATATATCATTCTGTTTTTAAAATAAAATTATTATAATAAATAAAATGCACAAAATTTACTGAGTGGAAATGCAATCTGTCATTTTGCATCTCCTAAATTAGATAAGATGTTACCCTATAAAGTCATATAAGATATAATATCCCCCCAATTTGAAAATTTTATTAGTTTATTAAAAATAGGAGCAATATATATTTTTCCAGTACAAAAACATTTATATAGTGTGATATAGTAACAAAAAATATTTCTTCTGATTCTTTTGAATTCAGTAAATCTCGAGCAAAACATAGATTTGAGTTCATTAAATTTTGCCAAAGTACATTAAGGCTATCTGCGTACAAAATATGACATTTTATTACATGAGGCATTTATAAATTATTTATCTAACATCTCTTACTAACCTTTTTAAAGTAACCATGAAGTGAATATATTAGCCTTTTTTAGAATTAGACTGTGTAAAATTAATTAAGCATAATTATTGTAACTGGAAGCTATAATATAATATATATTTTTATAAATAGAAAATGTGTTAAATTGAAGAAATGTCTCCATTGAAGCTTTTCTAGTTGAACTGTATTTTGTCATATTCTTTTGAATTAATTTTTATATTAAAATTGGAACTGGATATTTGAATTCATTCTAGCTGATTAAAAAAAAAAAAATACTATTTTAGTATTCTGTATGCATGGCCAGGCAAGTGATTTCTTACTTAGATAATAGGTACAATATTTCTCTCTGGGTGTTTATAAGTTTTTGTATTCTTGTTAATTAAATTAGCATTGGAATTTATTATTTTACCTGTGATAATTACATGTTAACGGTTGTTTAAGTGGATTGTTTATTTCTTGAATTATTATCAGTGTTCACAGTTTTTAATGCTATTTCAAGTAATATTAATTTCTCTATCCACACCATATTTTTAGGGAGTTAGATGTTACAATATTCTGAATGAACTGTAGTTTCTATTCCTATTCAAAATATAAATTAGCCAAAATACTGATTGAAGTTAGTTTTCTCCTTTTAAAACTGATTGTTTCATTTTTAAGCTAAACAACACTGAACTGTGAAATATCGCTGTTTTATGAAATTTATATTTTCCAATACAGATTTCATGTATTTATTGCAATTTGCCTAAAGTAGTGATTAGTTTTCAAATGTCAGTTTTTATGCAAAGACCTTTTTTTCTCCCCCTTGTCATTGTCATAAGATCTATATTTTTTTAATTAGAAAGAATTTGGCTTGGATGTACTGTTGCAAACTAGTTACGTATATTGACTAGAAATATTTTATGCATTTATATTGTATTAAAAAACATTTAAAATATTTATTTCTGTGCTGTGGTAATAACTCATTAGAGTCCATAGCATGAACTGCAAATCTGAATGGGATCAAGATAGAATGTATGAGAAGACAAGTTCACATTAATTTTTCATTAATATTTCTGTCAACAAAATGAATTATTGTAAGTTTCATAAAGAATTTCTATTGTGATTATTCTGTGTTGGGTTAAAAAATGCTAGAATGAATATGTATATGTACACATATATTAACTTTGTCATTTAAATACAGTATATACTATTTATGTTGAATTTTTCTTTTCAAGAGTAGCATAAAATACTCCCTTCCTCATCACATTTTCCTAAAAAAATAAATAAACCTATAAATGGAGCAAATTTTTTAATAACGATATTTAATTGCATGTTTTGAAGAGATATTTTCTGATATTCATATGAAGTCTTTAAATAAAAGGCTAACTCTGACACTTTTGCATTATTGATGTGATAGTTGCTGAGTATGGAATAATGTTTCATTAAGATTCTTGGATTAAATCATTTTTCTTTGGATCTGCTGCCAAATAATGCTGTTAATAAAATTTTACGATGTTGTATTTACACTGTTATTTTTTAATTGGTAACTTCTAAGTTATATCAGTTATATTTAAAGTTTATCGTGGTTACTGATAATGTATATGTGTTCTATAATTTATATGTGTTCTGATCATAATTGTAATCAGATTCTGATCTGATTATAATCAGTTGTTTTACTATTGTTATTTCTTTTCTTGTAGTGTTTAAATGAGAAAATAATGCCCATGTGTAATCTAAGTAGGCAGATTTGATGTCTCATCGTACAGATTTTTTTAAATACTAATCTAATGGATTTTTTTTAGTAGTACATGACTAACTGGTGCTATGCTAATGGTAAATATGAAATGTTATCTGAAGTAATTTTATTTCATTTAAAGTTGTTTTTCATTTACCAAAAATTTGCATGTTGGTTAATATTATAAATAATCATCTGCATTGTGTAGTTTCTGTAAAAAGTTATTCAGCATAATTGAAATGTAATATTTACCTGCATTAATCTCATAATTTTGTTTTGTTTTTGATTAAATTAATCTTATTCTCTTTAAGCTTTCAACAAATTGTTTTATTGAACTGAATTGTTATACAAGTACTTGATATGTACTGATATTCATATATATATTAAAATTGCTATAAGACATATGATATGATAATATTGATTTTAATGTTCCATATCACTATATAGACAATTTATCTGCACAATAATTTGCTTTCAGACTATTGATACCAAAATATATCTTTATTACAAGCTGAAAAATGAATTGATTTAGTTGCTAAAATGTACCTAAGTGCATTTTAATTTCGCATTTCCATTTGAATAATCATATTATGTATGGTAAATATTTGCAGCCTGTTATAACCAAATTTATTGGCTTTGGTGGTCTTATTTTTATTGTGAGTTAAATGCTTCACTATGCCGAAGGCTTCTGTGTAACTTTGCTGTGTCTGACTTCAGTCTGATCAGTTATTGTTTTTTAGTGATTATTATATAAATTTGTTAGATTCCATGATTTTCTTTTTATCATAATTATACATCTTGCTTCATATGATCTGTTGAATACAAAATATATCCATATCAGAGTACTTCAATTTCTTTTTTAATATTGTTAATTACCTTTTTTCATATGCTTT